GTCCTCAGTGCCAGCGCTCACAAGAACAGGGAGCTTATGCACAATGAGTCAGGGACCCCTGACGGACCCAGAGAGAGAAAGATGGGGCCAAGACCACGCGTGAGTTAACAACAGACACAGGGACAGCAAACACATCTCTTGACACTGACAGAGAAGCGTGTGTATCCCATCCCACGGGCAGGGCGCAGCGTGGTGGTGACCGTGCAGCAGGGAGACAGTGGCCGGGGCTACCTCGAGGCGATCCTGGTGAACAACTCATAGGCGTTCTCTGCCGTTGGCTGCAGGTGCTTCAGCATGGTCTGGAACTCCGAGTCGTAGCGCCGGTTGATGTCGTCCCCGATGATGGCGAGCTGCCGCCCCACCTGCCCCGTGGTGCTGGAGGACCGGGAGGCAGGCGAGTGAGCAGACAGGCGGGCAGGCAGGCCTGGGCTCACAGCGAAGGGGTTCTACCCGAGATGCCCCTGGCCTTGGGCACCCTCCTTGGAGGCCCTGACAGTATTCTCAGACATGAGGGCTGGGCCCAGGGTCAAGGGGCAGGCATGTGCTAAACAGGGTGCAAGGTCCCGCATGGGGGTGGGAGCCCGCGATGAAAAGGGAGCACCAATGGGAGGACAAGACCCCCCCAGGCCTCCCCGCCTCCCAAGACCGGCACGGCGACCCCATGTGAACTCTGCCTCCCTGAAGGTGACCCTGTGGGCTCAGGGGGCTGCTGCTCACCTGTTAGGTTCTAGGGGCAAGGTGTCCATCTCTGGGTCAGCGGGCACAACCGCGCCCTCCGCCTCCTGCTCCTGCTGATGGCGGTAATAAACGTAGCTGCGGAAAACCTCCTCCGTGTCCCGGGCTACCTGCTCCTCTGAGGATCAAAGCCGGGAGTCAGGGAGGAAGGGCTGGTGGATGGGTCACTGTCTCTCACGGCCACAGGTGTCCTCGCCCGTGGATGGAAGTGTCCCTGCTCGAGCCCTGTTAACACCTGGCACTTACTCTGTGCAGGGCATTCTTCTGGCACTTTTCATTTAATCTTCACAACAGCCTTGTGCAGTAGGTGAGCCCCAGTTTATAGTTGGGGAAACTGAGGCACGGGTGTTTACTTGCACAAGGTCATACAGCTAGAACAAGCAGTGAAGCCAGGATATAATCCCAGGCCTCTGGGCCCCCGAGTTTGTTTGAGCATGTACAAGGGACCCGGCCCTTATGGCTTAGGGAATGTGGGGCCGTAAAAGTCACAAAGGGAAATAGGGACAGACCTGGGAGCTGACCCCAAAGCCCAGGGAACAGCCTGTAGTGGGCTGTGGGCTGCAGGCTTCCCGATGGTCCCGTGGGAAGAGGGAAGAAGGGCAGCCATCTTACTTCCTCCCCAGCAATCCCTTTCCCCGTTTAGCAGACCTGATTCGGTGATAAGCCAACTTACTTCCTTATTTCTCCTCCGGCAGGGACAGGCCAGCCGCGCCCTGCTCTTCTCTCCTCCCCTCCCCCATCCTGCCCCGCTGCCCTGGCATGGCGCTGTGCCCACCTCATGCGCGCTCCCTGGCCTCTCCCAGCCTCTGTACCCTCCCTGGCCCAGACTCCTCCCCACTCCCAGGGCTTAACCTTGACCGAACTCTAGCTTCTAAGGCCAAGGAGCCACCTGCTTTGGGTGGGGAGAGACTGTTCTCATTTATCCAAGGTGAGTAAACTGAGGCAGGAGAGCCTGCCCATAAGTCCTGGCTGACCCTGTCCACTTCTGCTCTCTGCACCCTCACAGACAGCCCTGGTGATTATGGGATGAGTGAGGGGCGGAAAGACCCTTACCCGAAGTGGGGGATGGGGCAGGCTCTCCACACTCCTGCCCGGGGGGACCTGGGCCTTGCCCGGACGCCATTTTTCAGGTCCCAGTGGAGGATAGGTTAGCCTGTGGGGATGGGTGAGAGAAAGCAGAGATGGGGACAAGCAGGGGCCACTGACAAAACGTTCCCACAGCCACATAGGAGGGAGGGGGCCCCCGCTCCCAAAAGACCCCACAGCCCTAGCTCCAGCCACTCCTATTTCACCACCTCAGGTCCTTGTGGAGTCTGCTGCCGGAATCAGAACTCAGAGAGGGTTTCACTGGCAACCTTTCCAGGGAGAACGGGAGACCGGCGCGAGAGAGGCGAGGCTGCCGCGAGTCACACCCAGGGATCTGTCCCCGGCCGCCAGGCCTCCAGGAGGAGGGGCCCCAGCAGTGCCTAGTGGATCTCGTCACACTTCATCTCACTCCTGGGCGAGTGAGGCTGGTTTCAGAGGCTGGGGGCTCTTTCAGCTGCTCCTGGGGCCTCGTGCACCCCACCAACACACGCTTACCGCGGGCTCGCCACCTTCCAGCCAATGACCCATGAAGCCCGTCCTTGAAGGTCCCACTTCCCCTTGGCTGGTCAGAGCACACCTGTTTTCCAATTCAGGCCTGTTAGCCGCAAACATTTCCTGAGCACCTATGGTATACTTCTACCACGTGTGAGCACTCCCCAGGGGGTGCCGGACACTGAAAATGCACATTAACCCAGCAAGGTAAGCATCACATACCCGCTTTACAGGTGGGAAAAGTGAGGCGCAGAGGTTAGTGCTCGAGGCCACCTTGCTGGTCAGGCAGTCAGGACCGTTATCTGAATTTCCGTGAGTCCGTCTACTCAACACACTCACGTCAGATTTATTTTCCAGTTTGTGGACATCAGAGGGTGTCCTATCCAAGGCAGCTGTCCCTGTTTACGTCTGGCCTCTGCTCTTCCCACGCCTGCCTTGCAGTGAGCAGAGGAAGCCCTCAAGAGCCAGGGCCTTCTTCACAGCCCCCAGCCTGCCTCACATATGTACCCCCCACCACCCGCTTGCTCACCGGTCCCAGCCCCAATTTTCCTCTTCATCCAGCCCTGGCCGCAGCCCCGATCTGCTCTATGAACCCTTGACAGAGGGAGTATTTCCTGGACATGAGCTGTTTCACTTTCAGTTTGTACCCCCTTCATTTCCCCTCCACCCGAAAGCTGCCTCCATCAGCGTCCAGGCGAGAAGCACCCCTCCTCCCACCCCTGGGGAGGGCACAGCCCCGCCCTGAGCCACCCCCTTCTCCCTGGGAGGGCCTGTGTACCCCCGCCGGCCTCCCTCTCAGGCCTGGGGCCATTTTCGAAAGTGCCCCAAGAGAAGGGGTGGGGGAGGGCAGGACCACCTGTGCACTCAGCTCTCCACCCCTCCACCCTCTCAGAGCAGGACGGGGAGAAGGCAGAACCCCCTCCACCCCTGGGCGCTTGACCTCAGTAACACAGACCTTTGCCTGGCACACCCCCATCCCGGCTGCTCCTTCCTGAGCAAGTTCTCCCTTCCCTCTCCCCTGCTCCCTGAAACCCGGCAGCCCCAGGACAGCAGGGCCCAAGGATGCTGATGGCACTCCCGGCTCCCTCCACCACCATCCCGGGGGCTCACTGCCAGGGAGCAGGTGGAGCCTCAGAACGGCCCCCCAGGGCCAGAGGCCTTGTGCCAACCTGGGCTCACCCCTGCCCCATCCAAGTGGCCTGAGTTCCTGGTAAGGGGAGTCCACTGCACCCCACTTGCCGGGCCCAGGATGTTCCCAGGGGGAGATGCCTGGCCAGGCTGCCTAGGGGCTCCTGGGGCAGCAGGAAGCACCGTGAAAGTTCTCCCCCTGCCCTTGACCTTGGCTCTGACCTCCACTCCCATCCCCCAGACCGCTAAAGGACCTGGGTCTTTGGCACCCGATTCTCTGGCACCCAGGGTGGAGGCGAGAGGGGAAGCCGTCTGAGGGGCAGCCAGAGGGAGCCCTGGCTGGATCAGGCCCCCAGCAGGGGTTGGCGGAACTGCCCAGGCATTGAGGCCTCCCCCTCCCCACCCCACTCCCTGCAGGCTCGCTGCCCCACCCTGGGCCTGGGACTGCTGAGAGCGGGGAGGATGGGCAAGATCCTCCCGGCTTACCTGCCCGGACCCTGGCCCAGGCCCGGGGCGGCTCAGCGGGGCCGAGGCTGCTCCCAGGGGTATGGTGCTCAGGCCTGGCTTCCAGAACCGGGCGTCAGTGAATTCCTGGTGTCTGGATGCAGCCTCTGCTTCTCCAGGCGCGGCCCTAGGGACCCGCGAGGCTGCGGCGATCATAGAGGTGCCGGCTGCTCCCGGCTCAAATCAGCTCCCTCTAGAGGAAGTTGCTCTGTGGCCGCCGGATACGGATGCACCAGCCTAAAGCCTGGGGGGCGGTCTGGGCTCACACGGCCCAGGGAGCCACTCCCGCCCCCTACCCTCTTCCCCAGGCAGGCGGAGTGGCTCCCCCTCCCCTGCTGGTTTTCAGCCCCTGACTCCCAGCCCCTGTCCTTGATCTTTCCCTCCCTTCCATCAATCAACACCAATAAAAAAGGACGGTGACGTTTCTTAAGCACTACTGAGTGCCCTGCGCTTAAGCAACCGTTGTCTCATTGAATCTTCTCACAACCCTTGGAAGTAGGTGCTGTCAACTACACCCATTTTACAGATGAACAAATTGAGGCTCAGCTGGTTTAAGATACTCTCCCAAGGTCCCTGAGCTGGGTGTATAATCAGGTCTGTAGATGGCCGTGGGGAATAATAATACCAAATTGAGATTCAACGAGCAGTTAAGACATGTGCACCAGGCACCTCGGTGGTCTCTGGAGATACACAATCCTGAAGGTGATAGGCAGGTAAACAGAGAGGAAAACACAGTGGGGTCAGTGCTACCACCTGGGCATGGGCAAGCTGGGTGCTGAGAGGAGGGCAAGGGGAGGACAAATACTATCTGGCCATGGGGAATGTTCTCCAGGACAGAAGCAGCCACAGCTGGAGAAGGACAGCTAGGCGGAGAGAGGTGTGTGCAGGGTGCTTAAGAGCCCCTGCTCCATTCTCGGAGCCCTGGTCCCCCCAGCCTCCTCTGTCTGCCCCCACCCCCATGCCTCCTGGAGCCTCACCAGCCACCCCCTAGTCTGGCTCCCATACCTCCTTCCCCTGCCTCATCGACCCCCTGCCCTCTCTGTCCCCAACTAACCCCCGCCATCATGTCCTCCCCCCAGCCCCCCATCACTCCCCCCACCTGCCTGACCTTTGCCTTCTAGAACTCCTGGAAGTTTCCAACTGGAGGTTTTAATTTGAAAGCTCCTCCTGTTCTTAGCAGTTGGTCCTGGAGTGGCTGCTACGGCCCCTCCCTCTCAGTCAGGGTCCCCCTCAGGATGGAGGCCCCAGCCACAACCCCTCGATCCCGGATTTTGGGCCACTCCTCCATGTTGCGCTTCTTCCGTAGCCTGAGGGGGAGCAAGAGCAGCCCGAAAAGCTCTGACAAGGCACTGTCAAGGCGTCGGGCGTGCCCCTCACAAGAGCACGACGCCATCCCCCTGATGACGGACCACCACCGAGGAGTGGGGAGGAAGGAGCCCAGGCCACCCGCCATAGTGCCCTGCATCCTCTCTGTGGCCATGCCACGGCACGGTCCCTCGGGGCTGGGGGACACGGGGACCCAGACCCCCACCCCCAGGGAGGTCCTGAGGGTCATGGCCCAGGGTGTGGAGGTGAAGTCAGTCCTGCCCAGAGGAAGCCAGGAGGTGCTGGACGACCTGTCTGAGAAGGAGGGGAGTAAAGAGGAGGAGGAGGAGGCAGCAGGGGAGGCCTCCCGGGACACAGGGACCTCAGACAGGTGAGGGGCTGGGCTGTGGATGGTGGGAAGGGGCCTGGGATGGAGCTACTGGATGTAAGCCGGGGGAAGGATGTGGGCCTGAGATGGGAGGACCCAGATTGGAGAGGGTCCAGGAATGTGAGTCCTTGGAGGGGCAGCGGACTGGAACCAGATACCTGGGTGGGGAGGAGCCTGGAGATGGGGGTGTGGGGAGGAGACAGAGACAGGGATGAGGCACCAAAGATGAAAGGGGGACAGGCTGGAGACTGGGAAGGGAGCATGCCAGGCCGGGTGGGCTCCCACTGCTTCCTATCTCTTTTCTGCCCCAGCCACCCCCCCACCTTCCCTCCCACTCTGTCCCTCCCAGTTCCCACTCCCATTTGGACCTGGCACCCACTCCCTGTGAGGAAGGGGGCCCACTTCTCCTTCTGCTCCCCCCCACCCTACCTTTGGGGAGGGATAGCCCCCATCTATGATGAAGACCTCAGAGGGCAGAGCAGGGAGCTGTTGGGAGCAGGAGGATGGAGGGGGCTGAGCAGAGCCTGTGTGAGAGCCTTGGAGGGGCTGGCATGTCCAGGGGCCTTTGCCACATCTCTGGGCCCCACCTGACTCTGCTTTGGGATCAGGAGCCACTTTGCCAGAGCCCTGGAGGTGGAGCAAGGATGCCTGCAGAGGGCCGTGGGGCCACTGGAGGTCAGCCCCGAGGCCTTCCCCAGGGAGGAGAAGGAGCGTCTGCTTGATGGTGAGTCCACGTGGCGGCCACAGGAGTGAAATAGACCCTCTTCCTCTAGGACTCCACAGGATGTGGAGCCTGGAAGGACACGGGACGGTCTGAGGGAATGCTGGAGGCAGACTGCCTGGGTTCAAATCCCAACTCCACTGTGCCCAGCTGTGTGACAGTGGCAAGTTGCTCAACCTTTTTGTGTCTCAGTTTCCTCATCTGTGAGATGGGAGTATAATAGTGCCTATCTCAGAGGGTAGTTGCAAGGATTACATGAGGTGTTCTTTGTAAAGTGTCTAGAACTGTGCCTGGCACATAGTAGGCATTTGCTAAAGAAAACAAGGAGACCCCACCTCAGCTCAGCACCCCCAATGTCCCTGCCCTTCTGGGCCTGGGCTACCCCCCAGTGCTATCAGCCTGTCAGTGACACTGGCCCTTCACAGGAGACCTCAGGCTGGCCTCTTCGAAGGTGGGGGCGACCCCCTGGAACCGCCTCCTCACCTTGTACAAGCAGCTTCAGAAGTCTGCAAAGGTCTGTGGGGCCAGGCTGGGGTAATGGGGGGAAGCCTGGGCGGGGCTCTCCCCACATCTGGCTGGGCCTCAGGAAATGTGGCTGGGCCTAGGGGGCGCAGTGCCCTTTCTTGACCTTTGGGAGCTGTTCCCTGCTGCTTTGTGCTGTGTCTGGAGGTTGGCGGTGGGGGTGGGGCTGCAGGCTGGGGGCCCCACCTTCTCCACCTGCTCAGTGACCCCACATGCCCTCAGTTTCCTCTCAAGGAAGGCTTCCCATCTGAGGAGAAAGGGGAGGAAGAGGAAATAGAGGAAGAGGACAGGTCATTCAAGCTCTGTGTCCCAGGCACTGTCAGCCTCCAGTCACCGCTGCATAAGACCTTTATGTCAACAGACACCGTGGGTAAGTGCGGCGCCCCCACTTCCCCTCCAAACCCGCCTGCAGGCGCAGGGAGCCCCACTTTGGCCAGAGGCTCACGGGTGCGATACCAGTTCTCACCACCAGGTGGTACCAGAGGACCTAAGATGACCACCCGAGAAGTGGGACCAGTGTGTGGCTGGGCTGGAGGCCACGTTAGGTCTAGCAAGGGTCCTCCTCCCTCAGGGTTTGGGAGGCGGTGAGGTGGGGGTTGTGACTGGGCTGTGGCCCCTCGAGCACCACCTTTTCCCAGCCTGGAATTCTAACTCCTTCTGTGGCCACCTCCATCCCTGGTTTTCCCATCATGCACTGCTGTGACAGTGCCCCAAGGGTCCCCTCTCCCAGGGCAGCCCCTGTGCTGCCAGGACATGGTGAGCAGATGGCTCAGCGGTAATACCATAATATGGGGAAATCATTGTTGACATTTACATAGCCATTACTATCAGCCAGACTCTCTTCTATGCACGTTTATTGAAATAGCACATCACAACTGAGGTAGGTCCTATTATAATCTTCACTTCACAGTGAGGAAACTGAGCCACAGAGAGGTTAAGTAACTTGTCCAAGGCCACACAGCTAGTAAGGGGCCAGAGCCAGGACTTGAACTCGGGAAGTTTGGGTGGTTCCAGATCCTTGCTCTTGAGTCAGTGGCTAGAAGAGGGGCAGAGGTCTGCCCCTGGCATGTCTCCCCAGGAGGTAAAGAGAGTCACAGTCATGATGTGGGAGGGAGCCCATGGACAGTGAGGGAGCCCTGGGGAAGGCAGGGGGAGGTGGTGTCCAGCTGGCTCCAGGTGATGGGAGAGGAAAGGGCTATGCTGGGGGTGACCAGGGACTGCACAGGGCTGGCATGAGGTCCAGAGCCGCCACCTCCTCCTCCGGCCCCCAGCAGGTTGCCCCTCCCTGCTCTGACCTGTCTCATGCCCATCTCTCTGGCTCTCAGGTTTCGTGGAGTCAGAGTTAAAGAAGCTTCTGGTAGTGCAGCGAGAGTCCCGCCTTTGGAAGATGGGCAGCCACGAGGGCCGGGAGCTGCTGACCCAGCCGGAGATCACCCTGGAGGAGGCGGGCGTTGTGGACGGCCAGGTACGCCCGGCCTGGCCCACCACCACCCCTGCCTGAGGGCCCCGGAGAGAGTGGGCTGGAGGCCTCCCGTCTCCACGGGCGCCACCGCCTGGGCGGGGAAGGCACCGTCTCTTCTTGCTGGGGTGTTTCTGAGAGTAGGACACTGACCCCCTGCACGCACACTTCTCCATCAGTCTCTCTCTCTGTCCCCTGACCCAGAGTCCAAATGTCCATTTTTAAGTCTTAAGTTTGGCATTCATTTGCTGTGTGGCCTTGGGAAATCCCTTCCCCTCTCTGGACCTCAGTTTTCTCATCTGTACGACAAGGGGATTTGTCTAGGCGGCTGTAAGGCTTTCCTGTGCATCTGTGATTCACACAGCGTTGCTCTTTTTCTCTCCAATTCACACCCACACGTACTCGCGCAAGCACACACACGCAGCTCGGGGAGTTACCCCAGTGTTCACACCAAGGACCACCGACTGCCCACCCTCCTTGACATCGGCCTTCAAGCTTAGCCTGTCCCAGCTTCTCCGAGTGCACCTTGATGGAGCTGTTGTTGAAAAGTGTGTCGATGTCCTTTTCGAGTTCATTTCCATTCATTCATCAGCTCGTCTTTCATTCAGTGGACATTTGCCCCTGGTGGTCCGCGTAGTTCATGAAAGGAAAGAGCCTGGGGTTCTGAGGCCATGGTCTCCAGTCGAAGTCCCTGGTGCTGTGACCTTGAATGTGGGCCTCAGATTCTTTACCTGTGAAAGGGGCTGTGGGAAGGAGCACATGAGCCGAGGGGTGTGTGACTGCAGACTGCAGAGGACACTCCAGCGTGAGGGATTCTGACCCCCCGGGGGGTAGTGAATACCAGAAATACACGCCTGCCGGGCGTTGAGGCCTGCACGCCCGTGTCACAGGGCGCCCCCATGTGCCCTGGGGAGCAAGGCTGGCCCCCCTCATCCCAGACCACACAGGCTGTCAGCTCCGCAGGGCCCCTCGCTTTTGCCTTTTCACGATAAAGGGATCTCTCCTCACCCTTCCCTCCAGAGCCGCCCCCTGAGCCGGCCTGCCCCTGTCCCAGGGGTCACAGTCCTGGAGTAGCCTGAGCACCAGGGGGGGCCCTCGGGGGTTTCTGGGTGGTGGCAAGTGGGGGCCCAGCTCAGCCCTCACTTGAGGGACAGAGGAACCTCAGGAATATCTTCCTCCTGTGGGTGTTTCAAGGGTCCTGTCCTCATCGCCCACCGTATCTACTTCGGGGACACAAGCTGGGGGGGGAGGAAGCCGCCCCCCAGCCTTTGGGGGATGCTGGGGTGCTGGGGGAGGGGCGCTGAGGTGCTGCTGCACCACCCTAGGCTGGAGGGAAGGGTACAGAGCCCCCTTGTATGGTGTCCAGGACAGAGGTGAGGGAGGGCAGGGTCGGCTGGGGTGCCTGACTCCTGGGGCTTCCAAGGACCCCCCAGCCGGAAGGGGGTCCCTGAGCTGGCTCAGGGGTGGTGGACCTGGGCCAGCTGTGGGGACGTGGGGGAGGGCCTGGAAAAGGCAACCTCGGGTGCTTGTCTATGGAGGGTAGGTGGGAAGGTTCTAGGGGTGCAGAGGAGGGAGGGGAGAGCCTGAAGATGCCAAGGCGTCTTCCCTCACCCACTTCTGCCCCCAGCACCTGCTCCTGGAGGAGATGGACGAGATGGGAAACTGGCCTCCGGAGTGAAGCTGGTGCTGGCCCTGAGTCTACCCTGCCCCAGACCCCGGGAACTCACGTAGGGATGCACCTCCCTTCTTAGGGCACATCCAAGGAGCCCCTGGGGCCAAGGGGTCTTGGGATAAACAATGTCCACCTGTCTGCAGGGTGGGCCTGCCCAGCAGACTGTCCCCACCCATCAGACTCAGGCCTGTGATGTTATTAATAAAGCCCAGTTTGACTCAGGCCTCCTTGGCTGTCTGTGTGTGGACCCCGCCCCTCCTCCTCAACCCTGGAACAAGCTCATTTTATCTCCGTCTAACATTTTATCTGTCTAGTCCCCAATCTGTGCCCACGTGCTGCCAGGGCTGCCCCAGCTACAGAGCCCTGGGTTCCAGTGGGGGTCGGGGGAGGCCTGAGCCAGAGCACAGGAGGGTTGATGCACCTGACCTGGGGGTGGGGAAGGACCTGCCACCCAGAGTGCCAGGGGAGCCCCTGCTGCCACAGGACCCACCCCTGTTAGGAGTAGCATCCCTGACTTCCCGCCTTCCTAAGTTCCCAGGCCAGGCTGCAGCCTCCCAGGGAGGATCCGGGAATTCTCCAGCAGGAAGTTCCTGCCCAGCCAGCACAGGGACAAAGCCAGGAAAGCAGCCCTGGGATGGGGGGACGTGCTGGGGGGCTGGGCTGGGGGAAGGTGAGGGGTCCCTGGGGTTGATACTCGGGCCCAGGTTACAGGGGTGGGGGCAGGGCCCTCTGTGATGGGCCCACAGCCCACGCTGTGCCATGCTCAGCACTGGGTGCTTCTGGGGATCTGGGCAGAGGGAGGTCCAGACACCCGGAAGGCCCACCTCCACCTCATCCCAGAGGCAAGGATGGGCTTGAGTTGGGGGCACAGGGGGCTGTGCCCTTACTGGCCGTGGAGGGGGCACCCTCATCCCTGACTTTGTGAGGATCCCGTGGGAGGGAGGGCCAGGCCGGATTTGGACACCAGGAGGTGCTGTTCACCAGGAGGTGCTGCTGGCTCCTGGGAGGTCCCCTGGTTCCTTCCTTTCCGTGCGTCCAGGCTCTGAGCCCCCAGCACACAGGTGAGAGAGAGAGCTCTTGCCCCCCCAGGTCTCCTCAGCACAACCTCTATTTGCAGAAGCCTGTCTGCTCTTCTCCACGCGCCCCGCTGTGTCTAGCCCGCGGCCTGGTGCAGAGGTGAAGTGCAGTATGAGAACACAGGCAGCCGCTCTCCGTGATCACTGATTGATAACAATGGCTGTCTGTTTGGGCCCATGGCACGTGCTTGTGGTGGGGGTGGGGACACTGCAGCCACTTGGTCTCCCGCCCCAGCCCGGCTGGGCCCAGTGGAGGTGGGATTCCCCCCCCCATCCCCCAACCTGGGGAGAGGGGGCAGTTTGGAGAGGGCAGGTGGTTCACAGCGGGCTGGGGGATTTCTCCTGGGCTTCCTGGCCGCGTCCCTGGAAACTTCAGCTCAGGCTTTGAGCTGGGGGCTGGTGGAAGGACCCATCTGGACTGTCCCCCTGAGTCAACCGGGAAGCAGCCTTGTGCCCAGATGACTCACCTGTGCCCTAATTATTTCCTGGCTGTACGGAAAGGTGGGGCCTTGGAGGGTGGCCTGTGGGCTCCCGGGTGGCACCTGGACCCCCTGATGCCCCCACATGGACATAGCCCTCCTCACGGACCCCATGGAGGGGATGTCTATCATCCTTCCCCCTCCTGATAGGCCCCAAACCCTGTGCCGGCCAGACCCAGGCCAGAGGGGGACCTCTGGCCCAGAACATTCCAGGACAGAGCTTCTGCCCCTCCCCACTGCCCTCTGGGTGGGGCCAGCCAGCGGCTCCTGGGCACAGGTGGGCACCACAGTGGGTCGGGATAGGCTGGGCCCCCGCTGGCAGCTCAGGCTCATAGGGCCACTCATAGGCCACCTTAGCTCCTGGGGGCAGGAGCATCTTATCCTTGGACCCCACAAGGGTGGGGCTGCTGGGGAGTGAGGGGGGCAGAAACCTTGGTTCAGTCTGTGGGACTCTGAGCTGATCACTCCCGTCTCTGCTCCTCTCTTTCCCTTTCTGTCAAGTGAAGATCACAGCACCTCCTCGTCCACCCCCGGGGTTCCTATGAACTACAGAGAGGAAGGTCTCGAGGCTCGGGTGTGTGGCTGCTGGTGCTGGGCTGGAGCAGGAAGGGGGTCTGTGGGCTGGCACAAGCATGAAGACATCTTCCTGGGCTCGTTTCTGTGGATGGGCCTGGCCTGACACTCATGAGTGGCAAAGGCAGGGGTGACACGGCCTTGGACCTGCTGTGGGGGAAGGCCCGGCAGGTGAGTCCAGAGGGCTGCGCTCAGGCTCACGGCCAACACCAAGAGAGCCCGGGCATTTCTGGAAGGTTTCGAGGGAAGAACACAGACGCAGCTGTGGGGCAGACCTGAGGACTGGGTGGCATTTAAAGCTGCCTTCCCCTCCTGGGTGTGCAGAATGCATGGGGAGGGCTGCCGTGCACTGCTGGGCAGGTCGGGTCCTGCACCAAGGTGCTTGGCTCAAGAGTGAGAAGGCTCTGAAACCCAGCGAGGGTGCCTCTCTCTGATTTGCTCAAAAGGGCCAACTGGGCTGGCAGTGGCCCTGGTCAGGCCTGCGAGTTTGAGTTGAGCCATTATGTCAGAACTTGGCAAGTCTCTGCTGCTCTCCAGGTTTCTCTCTTCTCCCTCATCTTCTTCGTCCCTCTCTGTTGCATGAGGGGCTCTGTTTCTGTGTATGTCTCTGCTGCTCTCTCTCTCTCTCCCCCCCGTGCTTCTCTCTCTGTCTCTGTCTCTGTCTCTGTCTCCTTCTCACTGTATCTCTGGTGGGATAGAGGTGAGAAAAGCAGCCTCCAGATCCAGCTGCAGGTATTTTGGGGCCAGTGGTGGCAGAAAGGAAGGCAGTGGCGGGGGATGGGGAGCAGGGTGGGTAGTCCCTGGAAAATGTGGGCAGGGTCAAAGCTGGGCATGCCTGCTGGGGAGACAATGGCATCTCCCTCCCCATGGGCTCCTGGGCAGGACCTTGGAGGAAAATGCCACCTGGGGCCCTGTCTAGAGTCGCTGGTTGTCAGTCTTGCCTATCCAGGGGCCAGGTAAGGGCAAAACCACCTGTATTCTTTACCAGGCAGGAAATGAGGTGGAAAGCAGAGAGGCAGTGGGAGGGGACCGGCTGGGCTGGAGCCCCAGCTTCAACTCTGACAAGCTCATGTGACTGCAGACAGGTCCCGTACCTCTCTGAATCTCAGTTTCCCCTTCCATGAAATGGGCAAATCACAGGCTTCTCGTGTGGGCTAGATGAAGTTCTGTTTGGCAGAAACAAATTTTTATTAAACTTTTACTACATCCCATTCCTGTTCTAGGTACTGGGGAATACAGCCGTGAACAAGACATACAAAACCTTCCCTTTTTTGAGCATTTATTATTGCTAGTGGGACGGACAATAGATACTGTATCAGGGAGTGAGGAGTACTATGAGGAAAGATGAAGCTGGGTAATGGGATCCCATTTTAGACAGAGTGATGGGATGGGAAAGCCCTCTCTGAAAAGGTCAAAGGTAAGCAGGGACCACCAGGAAGTGCGGGAGGGAGCCAGGGGGGTGCTGGGGAAAGGGCATTCCAGGGGAGGGAACAGCAAGTGCAAATGCCCTGAGGCGGGAGCAGGCCTGGAGTGTTTGAGGAACAGGAAAAAGACCTGTGTGGCGGGAGGGGAGGGAGAGGGAGAGGAAGTAATAGGAGGTGAAGTCCAGAAGGAAGGAGGAGATGGGGTACTTTGCTGATCTGGGTTTTTGTGGGGGTTATTTTATCAGAGTGAGGAGTGACATGGTTTACATTTAAAAAGTCCTTCTTGGCTGCTGAGTGAGGAAGAGACTGTAGGGGCCACTTAGGAGGCTGCTGGGGTCATGGGGCGATGTGGCCTCCCTGGCGCTGTTATTGTTGTGAAAAGGCTGCTGGAGGCTGCTGGGGGTCTTTGCCACTAGGGAGCGCCCCTTGGCCCGGACCTCTATGCAGGGGACTACCAGTCCCTCCCCCGCCCCAGAGGGTGGAGAGGGGCGGCCTCAGGCGTGGAATCCGGGAAGGGCCTGCGGAAGGCTAGCGGGCGGCGCGTCACGCGTGGGCCACTGCGGCGGAGGCGTCGGTGGGCACCGGCGGGGCGTGTGCACACCGAGGCGCAGCAAGTGCGTCCTGACCACGGCAGCCCGCCACCCCGAGGCTCGGCCGCGCCCCGTCCTGGTGCGCACCCAGGCCAGCGCGCGTCTGGGAGCCGCTGGACCGCAGGGTGTTTCCGCTGCCTGCGGCCCTCCGAGGGCTCTCAGCGAGCTCCGGGCTGCTTCTGCTGAAGGCGGCTTGGTCTAATGTCAGTAGAGCAAGGACAGAAGACACCGCGCTGCCCTCATGAGATTCACAGTTGGGGGTGTCGGGGAACAACAGACCTCTGCAATAAAAATCTGGTGACGATCTTGCTATATAACACAGGTTTGGAAAGCACAGAGCAGCAAGCAAGCAATTCCAGCAGGGAGAAATCTGGAAGGCTTCAAGGAGGAGGCACCATTTGTGATTTGGGCTTGCAGGACGAGGAGGCATTTGACAGATGGAGTAAGGGGAGAAGGTCCTGCCTGCCAGGGGCCCTCTGGTGATGGGACAGTGTCCAGGCTGCACCATGACCCCACTTTCCACCTCTCTGACAAAGCCAGAGCCGCCTGGTCTCTCTCCAGTGCCTCCTTGATCGGGCCTCCGGTTCATGTTTAGCCCTTCACTCCCTGCCATCCCTCCCTCTTCACACTTGCTCTCTGCCCTTTGCTGGGGGCCCAAATCACAGCCACAGATGCCAAATCCTCTCAAAGCTTTTGCCCCACCACCGCCAGGTCTTCCCGGCCCCCCTCGATAGCCCCTGCCCAGCCTCTACAGCTCAGTGTGGGCACCTCCCCTTCTCCTGGAGTCCTCACAGCTCCCAGGCTACGGGACTAATGGGATCTGCGTGGTTACCTGCTCTCCCCTACCCGGGACGGACACACCCTGAAGACGGGCCTGGGGGCTTTGTCTCCATGTCTGCAGCGTCCAGTGTGGTGACTGGCACAGAGCAGGCTCCACACAGGATGCTGGACCAACTGAGCAGGGGAGGGCAGGCGGGAGGAAGAGGCTTGAGGGTAGAGCTGGAGAGGTGGGTGGGGCCAGGTTGCACAGGGCCATGTATGCTAACCTGAGTGGCTGCATCTATCCTCCACTATCCAC